AAAAAAAATACAAAAGGTCTTAGCGGAAAGGGAAAATTAACTGGCAAACTTATGGATGAACTATCCATTCATTATGGATTAGCAATACGCCGGGATCATGATTTAGTGCAGAAAATGAGAGAAGCAATCTGGGGAACACTGTATCACAAGCTATCGATGAAAACAGATGAAAACCGCAGCACGATAAATGCCCGTCCGGAGAAGATTCGTGGTGCTCGTGGCAAAAGGCTAAGGCTGAAAATAAGTTGCATGAATACAAACATAAGCCAGCCCTTCGTGATGAAGTTTTTCAAGCCATTAAGCCTATTTATGAAAAACTGAGCAGTGATGATCTGCTTGAGCGATGCATCGGCAGTTTTACACAAAATAGCAACGAAAGTTTCAACGCTCTCGTATGGCTCCAAAATCTGTTTCCAGCGGCAAAATTGTGATTGACACAGTTGCAAATTTAGCTGTGTGCATATACAATGACGGAATATCGAGTATAATGCAAGTTATGAAACTCCTAGGCTTGACTATTGGACATAACTGTTATAATTACTGCTTGGAGACCGATGCTCACCGTATTAAGTTTTCGGAGCTTTCATTATCTGATGCTGCGAAAGAGGCCAGGACGTCATTAAAATCAGCCAGGAAAGATGCAGAGCACGAGGATTTTGATATGGAAGGTGAAATCTACGGTGCAGGCATTGCCGACTAGAGGTATATAAAAAAATTTATTACGTTTTTAGTACTTAAAACTTTAAACGGGTTTTTCTCGAAACAATGTTTTTCAAATTGGCCGGAAACAAAACTCGAAAAGTTTTTGACCGATTTATTTCAAATTTGCACAGTAGCATCGTAATTAGATTCTGCAGAGACTGACGTAGGGTTTTTTTGATATTTTGTCAACTTCTTTTGTTATAAACAATTTACATTGAAATTTTTTACCGAAAAATGGATTTTTTTTTCAAATAAGCACTACTTATTCAAAATTCAATATTCAAATTCAAAATCCCCTACGTCAGTCTCTAGTCAATTATATATAGTTTTAAAAAAATTTTTTGTTTTTTGTTCTAGATTAAAAATTGTGGGAGTAACCTTTCTGGCCGTGAAGCCCCTTCGGCGAGAGGAGGTCTCGAGTCTTTTATAATATAGCCGCCATTTTGTGTATAAATATTAATAAAGAATTTTTTTATATACTTCGAAACATGTATAATAAACTATAGATAGATTTTCCATTTTCTTTATTGTATTTCCGTTAAAAATTATCAAAGAAACGTCTTTTTTTCGAGCTCTAGAGTGGCATTACCCCTTAAATTGTAATGTTTTGTAATGTCAACTGTTCGGGACTCGCCTCATATTTTACTAAAACCTTGTCGCCGTTCGCGATTCCCTCGAATCGATCGACCTAGGCTTCTCGAAGATTCTATTTAGAATTTTCGAGAAGTCGATGATATACAGATTTCTGTACGTGCTACCTGTGACCCGCGTCGCCGGTAAACATTCGGTCTCGCGACTCTTCGATCTATTTTGTTTGCTAGCTGGTTGCTATGGCAATCTAAACTCGGATCGCGAAATCAAAGCTCTAATAAATCAACAACGAAAAAGGAAAGTCATCTCGATGTGTCGCGAGGCCGAACCAATCACCGATCGCCAGCTTTGAAACTGCGGAGATAAAAGCTCCGTCTCTCTATAACGGGCGATCTAACTCGTGCGACACTCTCTCAAGTTAAAACGTTTGACGTCTCATCAGGCGCATCTCAGTTTCGCGAAGTCTAAAGCTGCCGACCGGAGCGAGTCAGGCTCTCAATTCTTGTATCGCGAAAGCGACCTCCGAAGTCTTCCGTCCGCGAAGACCTCTCTGCGACAAAAAACATTGTTCGACGATTCGAGCGCGTCCGCCCAGCGAAGACGGAAGGTGCGACCAACGGCGACGACCGATCCGGAAGTCTCTCTTTCAATAAATTGTTAATTGGGACAACGAAGTCAACTCATTGACGCACCACACCCGTCTCCCAGTGATCCCCGCGGAGCTAAGCCGGCTTCTATGCGCTCACTGCAAGCGCGCACATCAACATTTAGGTAAACATATTTTATATAAATATTTTATGCATACAGGGGCTGCGTTCCGAAATTCATTGCCAATGCTGAAATTCTATAATATACGTGACATGAACTATAGATTTTCAGTACTGGCAATGAATTTCGGAACGCAGCCAGGGCATCCCGCATAAGACGTCAAGAAGAAAAATATAGGTAGAACAGATAAAAGTAAACAAATATTGTATTGGTCATTTTTCAAACAACTACGTAAAATTTCGAGATATTAATTAAAATATTTGTGCATATCAGAGCACGGCGACGCGGCAGGCGAGACATACGGCTCGCCGCGGCCGGCGAAAAAAATGGACGATTGCTCGCGGGCCTATCTTATAGGCCAGAGAAGTAGGCGATTTGGCATACGGAAATGGATAACTCCGTGTGTGCGTCCGTACGTGTGCGCTCGTCCATTTTCTTCGCCGATTACGGCGAGTCGTATGTCCTGTATTGGCTCCTGTGGGCAGGAGCCATAAGTCCCGCCTGCAGCGTCGCGCGTTTTGATTTGTCCATCTATTTTATTTAATAACTCGAAATTTTATGTGGTTATTTGAAAAATGACCTATACAATATTTTTTTATTTTTAAACAAATATTCTACTTATATTTCTGTTCTACTTATATTTTTCTTTTTGGACGCCTTGTACAGGACACTATATATTTCTGATTTCTTTTTTATTATATGAAATATTAGAACTATAAATAGTTTATTTTTGTGGTTATACTAAATAATATTATAAGAAAATTATAATTAGTGCTTCGGCTGCATATGGGCATAATAAAAACACTCAGTATCAGTTGATCCTAATAGCGCAGCAGCCAAGATAGACTAGGAACTTGGAAGTATCTGAGGTCTCGAGTTTACATCCGACTAGTAAATTTTCAGGTGTGAAAATAGTGAAAAATCAAAAATAAAAGAGCTATTTTATTTAAAATCAATATTAATGTGCTGTGAGGGATAGTATATTTTAACAATATTCCACGTATATACTTTTTTTAGTACTCATCAATACTAAGTATTCCCCAAAAAAGTATTGGCCAATTTAGTATTAACAAATACTAAATATTACGCACTCAATACTATTTTTCAGTATTCATAAATACTTAGTATTTATCAATTCACAAGTATTGCCAAAAAAAAGTATTGGCCAATTTAGTATTAACCAATACTAAGTATTGCGCACTCAATAGTTTTTTCCGTAAGGGATATTCCGGTATATACGGAACTTCTGGAAAACAAACGGAATATTCCAGGAATATCTAACGTTTACTGATATGTGGAAAATTTATTTAGTGCGAATTTATTTTGTTATAACTAACAATTATATAACTGTTGTTTGTTAAGAGCCATTTTATTTGCAATAACCTAATAAATTAAATATTATTCTAAGTGGCATTTACCAAATAGCTGGAACTCTACAAAATTAGAATTAAATTCTAAAAAATTTGTTATTTTATTGCACATTTAAATTTATAT